ATCAGCCTCCTGAGTAGCTGGGATTACAGGTGCCTGCCATCATGCCCGGCTAATTTTTGTATTTATTTATTTATTTATTTATTTATTTTGAGATGGAGTCTTGCTCTGTCGCCCAGGCTGTAGTTTAGTAGTGCGATCTCAGCTCACTGTAACCTCTGCTGTCTGGGTTCAAGCAATTCTCCTGCGTCAGCCTCCCAAGTAGCTGGGATTACAGGCGTCTGCCACCGCGCCCTGCTAAGTTTTGTATTTTTACTAGATACAGGGTTTCACCATCTTGGCCAGGCTGGTCTTGAACTCCTGACCTCGTGATCCACCCACCTTGGCCTCCCAAAGTGCTGGGATTACAGGCATGAGCCCCTGCACCCATTCCAATTTTTGTAGTTTTTTTTTTTTTTTTTTTTTTGAGATGGAGTCTCACACTGTGACCCGGGGTGGAGTGCAGTGGCATGATCTTGGCTCACTGCAACCTCCGCCTCACGAGTTCAAGTGATTCTCCTGCCTCAGCCTCCCGAGTAGCTGGGATTACAGGCACCCACCACCATGCCCGGGTAAATTTTTTTTGTATTTTTAGTAGAGACGGGGTTTCACCATGTTGGCCAGGCTGGTCTTGAACTCCTGACCTCGTGATTCACCCGCCTCGGCCTCCCCAAGTGCTGAGATTACAGGCGTGAGCCACTGTGCCCAGCCCAGTTTTTGTATTTTTAGTAGAGACGAGGTTTAACCATGTTGGCCAGGCTGGTCTTGAATGCCTGCCTTCAAGTGAACCGCCCACCTTGGCCTCACAAAGTGCTGGGATTACAGGGGTGAGCCACTGTGCCTGGCCATGATTATTCTTATTCTTATTATTTTGAGACAGGGTCTCACTCTGTCTCCCAGGCTGGAGTGCAGTGGTGTGGTCATACCTCACTGCAGCCTTGAATCCCAGGCTCAAGCCATCCTCCACCCTCTACCTCCTGATAGCTGGGATTATGCCCATGTGCCACCACGCCTGGCTAACTTTGGTATTTTTTGGAGAGACAGAGGATCTTGCTACATTGCCAAGGCTGGTCTTGAACTCCTGGCCTCAAGCTATCCTCCCACCACAGCCTCCCAAAGTGTTGGGGATTACAGGTGTGAGCCATGGTGCCCAGCCCCTCCTCTGTCTTAATTTTCCACTCCCTACTCATTCCCAAATAAACCACTTACACTCAAATCCTTGCTTCAGGGTCAGTCTCTAAAGGAGTCCAACCTAAGAATACTATCGAATGCTTTTTCTGTGACTATTAAGACTGATTTTTCTCCTTTACTCTGCCAATGCAGTTCTATTGTAGTAGGTTTTCTGATGTAGAACCATTCTCTTATTTCTGGATTAACCTTTCGTGGTTGTGATATTTTTATTCACCTCTCGTTTGATCTTGCTAGTATTGATATTTTCTCTGTCTTTCTAAGAACTGAAATTAGGCTGGGCGTGGTGGATCACGCCTGTAATCCCAGCACTTTGGGAGGCTGAGGCGGGTGGATCACGAGGTCAAGAGATTGAGACCATCCTGGCCAACACGATGAAATCTCATCTCTACTAAAAATACAAAAATTAGCTGGGCATGGTGGCGCGTGCCTGTAGTCCCAGCTACTGGAGAGGCTGAAGCAGGAGAATTGCTTGAATCTGGGAGAGAGGGTTGCAGTGAGGTGAGATCACGCCACCGCACTCCAGCCTGGCGACACAGCGAGACTCTCTGTTTAAAAAAAAAAAAAAAAAGAAAAGAAATGAAATTAATCTACAATTTTCTTTTTCTCTTTCCTCCCCTTCCTTTTTAAGACAGGGTCTCACTGGAGAGCAGGCTGGAGTGCAGTGGTAAAATCACTGTTCACTGCAGCCTCAGCCTCCTGGGCTCAAGGAATCCTCCTGCCTCAACCTCCCCCGAGTAGCTGGTACCACCGTTTGTGCACCACCACGCCTGGCTAATTTTTTGACTTTTTGTAGAAACAGGGTCTCACTCTGTAGCCCAGGCTGGTCTCAAACTCCTGGGCTCAAGTGATCCTCCCACCTCAGCCTCCCAAAGTGCTGGAATTACAGGTATAAGCCACTGTGCCTGGCTTACAATTTTCTTTTACTGTCCTTATCTAGTAATAGTAAAACTCATCTCATAAAATAAATTGGCAGATTTCCTTCATTTTCTATCTCTTAATTTATATAAAGAAAGCAATTATTCGTAAAATCACACAGACTAATGTCTTTCAGCAAGGACAAGCTTTTGATTCTTTATTTTCATTGTTGGTTTTTGGGTTTTTGTTTGTTTTTGTTTTGAGACAGAGTCTCACTCTGTTGCCCAGGCTTGAGTGCAGTGGTATGATCTTGGCTCACTGCAACCTCCGTCTCCTGGGTTCAAGGGATTCTCGTGCCTGAGTCTCATGAGTAGCTGGGACCACAGGCACGCACCACCACACCCGGCTAATTTTTGTATTTTTAGTAGAGACGGGGTTTTACCATGTTGCCCAGGCTGGTCTCAAACTCCTGACCTCACGTGATCCACCAACCTCAGCCTCCCAAAGTGCTTGGATTACAGGCATGAGCTACTGTGCCTGGCCTGATTCTTGATTTGATTTCTTTACTGTTTAAAGTTACTAGTTACTAGTTTATTTAGGTTTTTATTTCTTACTGAAATTATTTATCTTTTACCTATCATTTATATTTTCTTCTCAATAATTACCCATTTTATGTAAATTAAAACATTTATTCACATAAATTTGTCTAAAATATCACTTTATGATTATCAAAATATCTACAGTATCTAATATTATGTTCCCTTTTCATTTTTATTTCTTCCAGTGAATATTTCTTTCACCAATTTTTTTTCTTTTTCTTTTCTTTTCTTTTCTTTTTTTTTTTTTGAGATGGAGTCTTGCTCTATTGCTTAGACTGGAGTGCAATGGTGTGATCTCGGCTCACTGCAACCTCCATCTTCTGGGTTCAAGTGATTCTTCTGCCTCAGCCTCCCAAGTAGCTTGGATTACAGGCGTGCACCACCCTGCCCAGCTAAGTTTTGTATTTTTCGTAGAGCTGGGGTTTTGCCACGTTGGCCAGGCTGGTCTTGAACTCCTAACCTTAGGTGATCCACCCAGCTTGGCCTCCCAAAGTGCTGGAATTACAGGTGTGAGCCACCGTGGCCAACCTTTTTTTTCTTTTTCTTTGACTAGTCTTGTCTATTAGTTATTTCAAAGAAGTAGCTTTGATTCTATTGAACCTCAATGTATTTTACAATGCTATTGAGGTATAATATACACAAAAAATTCATTTATTTACAAAAATGAAAGTTTGAAATTCAGTTATTTTTGGCAAATTTACTAAGTTATGAAATTGTCCCCATTGTGCAGTTTTAGAACATTTTCATCACTCCCAATTAGACTGTTTATTGTTCATGTACAGTGAATTCCCATTTCATACCCTGTTCCAGGCAACCATTAATCTACTTTCTGTCTGTATGGATTTGCCTTTTCTAGACATTTCATATAAATGGAAATTTATAGAACACAGGATTTTGTGTCTGGCTTCTTTCACTTAATGATATTGAATGAATCTCTCTCTCTCTCTCTCTCTCTCTCTCTCTCTCTCTCTCTCTCTCTCTCTCTCTCCCCTCAAGCTCTTAAGAGCTGGTCAGAGACCTCTGACCTTCACAGCCCTCCAGGCCTACAGCTTTCGGGAAGTCAGAGCCTTCATCTCCTAGTATGGAACAACCTCCTTGGTCTCCCCACCCCTTTGGTATGGCTTTCAGCATGTTCTAGGAGGTTCAGACAGCGCCTGACTCAATGCGAACGGTCAGCGATGAGCAGCATTTCCTTCTTTTAAAGACCGTCTACAATTCCAGGCACTCCTGCAGCTGTGGAAACATTCTGAACGGCTTAGCAACCTTTACTCAGGACACTCTCTGTGCCGACCACTACCAGCATCGCAGGCTTCTTTAGCTGGCTTTCCCAGTGGAAAACCATGCTTGGTGTTTGAACACTGCTCAAGAGATATTTTCCAACAAAGCACCGAAGAAGGGGCGAAAACACCTCAACCCAGCCGTTCTCTGGGGTTGGAGCTACTGAAGTGTGACATTCGCGAAGACTCAACTTGTTTATGACACAGGGTCCAAATAATAAGCCTTGCAGACTGCCCGCCCCCAGCACTCTCCTTAGATTCAGCTAAAAGCATGTTATAACCGTTTATAGGACAAACAGGCAACAGTAGCAGTGAAGTGACTCAGGTGGCCATGATCGAGAAAGGTGCTCAAAGAAGACTTCCGTTTGATCTGTATGTAGTGCACTCATCTTTTTTGAAACCAGGACATTAAAAATTAGAATAAAGTTTTTAATATGCAAATACATCTGCAAACCCATCGTGAAGCATAAGATAAATCACTGCCAAAGGAGCTCTTTCTTCCAGCTCTTTAATCATGGCAGGTTTGTGGATCGCGGACGGGGAGGCCCTGGAAAGCAGGACCGCGCCAGGAAGCCGGGGCCTGCAGGGACTGGCCGCGGCTCCACAGGCGCTGCCCGTCGCACACTAGGAGGCAGCACCGCGCCGAGGAACCCGCAGCAGACGAGCAGCCAGCGTGTGTGCCCGGGGCGAGTGCCCTCGCCTGCGGGCGTCCCCATAGTAAAAGTGGGGGCGAGGGCAGCCTCGCGGGATAGCTGCGGGAGGATTAAATGAACAAGTGCAGGTTCACCTTCTGGGCGCTGACAACGATCCGTGGGCTCTCGCGAAATGCCAAGTCGCCGTCCCCTTCGCTCCCACAAAAGTTCTGGGAGCCACGAGGCGCGGCGGGCTGGCTCCTGAGTCCATGAGCGGTCCCACCCAGCGGTCCCCGAAGCTTCTCCAAAGCCCAGCCCGCGGCTCGCGGCGCGTGGTGTGCGGGGACTACAGTTTCCAGAGTGCCCTGCGGCGACGGGCGGAGCCGGGGAGCGCCCGCAGCCAATTAGGGGGTCTCGGGGCTCTGCCGGGGAGCGGCAGGTGGAGCCCGGCCGCTGGGCGGGCGCGGGGACGGTCCCCCGGAACGGGTCCGAGGCTCTCGCAAGCAGGGCTGCGCCGGGCGGGGGCTGCGGGGCCGGCACAAGGGAGGCGGCCCCGGGGACCTGACAGGGCGGGGGCGGGGACGCCGCCGCCTGCGCGGTTCCGGGTGCTCCCGGCGCGGCGCTGCCCAGGGCACACTTGACCGGGGTCGGGCTGCAGGGAAGGGCGGGTCTGGGGAGAACCCCGAGAGCCGCGGCGTCCTTCAACTCCTCCTCCTCCTTCTCCTCGCGGCCGCCGAAGCCACAGCCCGAGCCCGAGCCCGAGCCCGAGCCCGAGCCGGCGCCACCGCGCCCCCGGCCATGGCTTTTGCCAATTTCCGCCGCATCCTGCGCCTGTCTACCTTCGAGAAGAGAAAGTCCCGCGAATATGAGCACGTCCGGCGCGACCTGGACCCCAACGAGGTGTGGGAGATCGTGGGCGAGCTGGGCGACGGCGCCTTCGGCAAGGTTTACAAGGTGAGGGCGCTGAGGTGGGTGGCCGGACCCGCGTCGAGGGGCTCCGGAAGGAAGGGATGCCCGCCCGGGACCCGGCCAGCCTGGCTCCGGCTCCGAGGGCTGCCTGGCTCTGAACTCGAGGTCCCTGGCCCTCATGCTGGTGACTCTTGTTTTTTGGGGGGAACGTCACTCGGCCCGGCCGAGTCCCTGCGCTCTGGGCGCCCCCTCCGGGCACGGCTGCCGCCCCCACCTTAGCCCTGTTTCGGAGCACTTCCTGTGTGTCCTGCACTGCGCTCGGCGCCGCACGGGGAGACAAAGGGGCGCTGACAGGACCTCAGCATCCGAGAGGGCCACTCGAGGAACCTTCCAGGGACCTTCCGTAAAACGGCGATAGGGGCACACACTTTTTTTTTTTTAAGAGAGACTATACAGATGCTGTGGGAATATCGAGGCGATGTGGACCGAGAAACTCGGCTGCGCTTGGAAGGGTTGGGAGCTGGGGACACATCTGAAGATGAGCCAGAGACAGGGAAGTGGGGTGGACGAGGGATGGCCCCTGGAGTGAGAGGTGGGGCTTGGAAAGGTGGGTTGGGGCCAGGCAGAGGGGGAGGTCAGGATCTGGTGAATGCTGAGCCTCGGGGAACAGATTTGATTCCGTCGGTCTGAGTCACAGCTGGGGAGTCTCCCAGCCTGCAGTCACCTCTCCCCTAGAGGAAGACTCGGCAGAGAGCTTTTGTGGAGTGGGTGGGGCAGAGCTGATTTTGTCTAGAGAAGTGTGGCAGCAAGACCTTAGTTTCTGCTCCTGAGAGCTAATTTTGAGGTGCTGAGTTGTTTTAGGGAGCGAACACGTACAGCTTGACTCCCCCCTTTCCCCTAAGAAAATTTTTACTGGAGACTCCCTCTTGTTAAATTGGCGTATACCTCCAGGAGACCACCTCTCTCCTAAGCCACTATCCTCCTCCTTGGGGCTCCTGTAGCTTGTAGGCCACTCTGACCCTAGGATTGCCCTTCTATAAGGCTGGACCACAGAGAAGCCTTCTCCAGCCTTCTCCTCTGACTTGAAAGTAGTCTATCACCTAGTTACCAGGGTAGTTCCTAGATGACCAGTGTTACAGTAGCATCATTTGGGAGCTTGTTAGAAGTGAACAATCTCAGGCCCAACCCAGACCTGCTGAATTAGAGTCTGCATTTTAATAAGATCCCAGGTGATCCCTAAGCAAATAGGTTTGAGAAGTACTGCCCTAGAGGCTTGGAGTGGTGGCAGTTTTTTCTTTTTCTTCTTTTTTTTGAGAGAGGGTTTCCCTCTGTTGCCCAGTCTGGAGTGCAGTGGCACGATCTCGGTTCACTGCAACGTCTGCCTCCTGGTCTCAAGAGATTCTCCTGCCTCAGCCTCCCGAGTAGCTAGATCTACAGGTACACACCACAACCCAGCTAATTTTTCTATTTTTTGTAGAGCTGGGTTTTTGCCACGTTGCCCAGGCTTGTCCTGAACTCCTGAGCTCATGAAGTCAGCTCGTTTCAGCCTCCCAAAGTGTTGGGATTACAGGCGTGAGTCACCCTGCCTGACCTGGAGCGGTGGCAATTTTGAGACCAACTAGGCCCACCTGTTGCCTCTTTTTTTTTTTTTTTTTTCCTTTGCGACGGTGTCTGTGTTTCCCAAGCTGGAGTGCAGTGGTTCGATCTTGGCCCTCACTGCAACCTTCACTTCCCGGGTTCAAGTGATTCTCCTACCTCAGCCTCCCGAATAGCTGGGATTACAGGCACATGCCACCACGCCTGGCTAATTTTTGTATTTTTAGTAGAGATGGGGTTTCACCATGTTGTCTAAGCTGGTCTTGAACTGACCTCAAGTGATCCACCCGTGTTGACCTCCCAAAGTGCTGGGATTACAGGCGTGAGCCACTAGCCTGGCCTGGTGCCTCTTTTGTTACCTTACCACCTCTTCTCTGAGCCCACGCTTCCTGTTCGGGGTGGGGAGAGGTCTTGTGCTCCGAGAGGCAGTGCTTTTGGACTGCCCGATTTGCTGACCTCCTTTGCCTGAGGGCCTTGCCCATATTTGAGGGCAGCTAGCTCACCCTCTCCTCAGCACACCTTTTCTTTATTCTCCTCAGAGCTGCATCTTCCTCCTAGTGGCACCCGAGAATGGTCCTCAGCCTTGCAGCTCTCCCTGGACACTGCCAGTGTCCTTGACTGTCTTAGAGCCTGCTCCTGCAGCTGTGTTCTGACTACCGTGAGGGCAGCTGGACCCTTGGTCAGCTCGCCACGGGACCCACTTTCTCCAGAAGGCTCAGTTGGTGTTTTTAGTGTATGCTTTTGAACATGGGTTTTTTGGGCCGGGTACGGTGGCTCACCCCTGTAATCCTAGCACGTTGGGAAGCCGAGGCGGGCGGATCACGAGTCAGGAGATTGAGACCATCCTGGCCAACATGATGAAACTCCGTCTCTACTAAAAATACAAAAATTATCTGGGAATGGTGATGCGTACCTGTAATTCCAGCTACTTAGGAGGCTGAGGCAAGAGCATTGCTTGAACCCGGGAGGCGGAGATTGCAGTGAGCCGAGATGCCACCACTGCACTCCAGCCTGGCCACAGAGTGAGACTCCATCTCAAAAACAAAACAACACAAAACAAACGTATGGGTTTTTTTTTTTCTCCGTTAGGGGCTTTCAATTGCATTCTTGTCCTGTTCCCTGAAATATATCCTGGCTTCACAGGGTTCATCTTCCTTTAAACTTAAATGCAGAACTTTGCTTTTGTGCTGGTAAGATTTTCTCTTGTCATTTTCAGTTGTGTTTCCTCCTGCTTTAGTTCCTTATAACTCCCCTGCTACTCTGAAAGTTTCATACAAAGGAGCTCATCCGATTCACAATCTGTACTGTGTCCTCTTGGTTCTCCAAAGCGTGTGGAAAGTCAGTTTTTAAAAAAGTGACTCCAGGGCCAGACGCTGTGGCTCACGCCTGTAATCCTAGCACTTCAGGAGGCCGAGGTGGGTGGATCACTTGAGGTTAGGAGTTTGAGACCAGCTGGGGCAACATGGCGAAACCCCATCTCTATTAAAAATGCAAAAATAAAAAATTAACCGGGTGTGGTGGCGCATGCCTATAATCCCAGCTACTCGGGAGGCTGAGGCAGGAGAATTGCTTGAACCCGTGAGGCAGCGGTTGCAGTGAGCTGAGATCGTGCTACTGCACTCAAACCTGGGGGCAGAGGGAGACTCCGTCTCAAAAACGACAACAAAAAGTGACTTTAATTCTCTAAGTTGTGAGCTGGCTCCACCACAGCCCTCTCCTTCTACCTCTGAATCCACGATTTTCTCTTAATTAAGGGAGAGCCAGACCAAGAGAGTGGTGTGATGGCTGATAGACCTAACAGTCTATTCTGTTACTTTCTTGGCCTTAGCATGCTCTGACCTAAGCCAACCCTGTATGCCCTGGTGCCCAGAGAAGAGAAGGGACTAGAACCCAGGACTCTGGGCTTCAGTTGAACGTTCTTTCCTTAGTCACCAGCTAAGGAAGACCCATCCTGGATCAGAGATCCCTGTCACCCAGGCTGCCTACTCAAGAGGTGCTGTTTACTCACCCCTCCTGCTTGAAGTCGAAGCAGGTATTGCTTTTACTAAAGACCCTTGTAGTCAAGGACCACGACTCCTGCCTACTTGGTTATTCCCTGGCCTGGTCACTGAAGTAACCCAAACCAAAAATTCCATCTTGGTTCTATGGCTGGAACCAGAGATTCCATTTTGACACGGCACCTGAGAAAGCAATTGGCAGGGCGCTGAGGAGGGACTGCCAGCAGCACTGTTGTTCTTCTGACAGCCTAAGTGCTGAAGGCTTCCTGAGGTCTTTCTGGGCCTTGGAAGTCTGAATTTGTCAACGGTGTCAGGAGAGGACTCTCTGATTCCAGATTTCCTGATGAGTCTTCAAGTTAGCGGTCTCCGAGATATCAAACCTCTCTTTCCTCCTCTCCCTGATAAGCCTTAATCTGTCTGCCTCAGGAGAAAAAGAGGAGGATAGGATTGATTTTGTGCAAAGTCAGGCTCATTCTCACCCAATGCCTATGTGAATGCAAATTGGTTTCAAAAGAAAACCATTCCTACAAATAGGTTTCAAAAGAAAACCATTCCTAGTTAATTACTAGAATACAAAGCAGGCTGTAATCCCAGCACTTCTGGGAGGCCGAGGCTGGTGGATCACTTGACGTCAGGAGTTCAAGACCATCCTGGCCAACATGGTAAAACCCCATCTCTACTAAAAATACAAAAAATTAGCTGGGCGTGGTGGCACACGCCTGTAAGCCTGTAATCCCAGCTACTCGGGAGGCTGAGGCAGGAGAATTGCTTGAATCTGGGAGGCAGAGGTGGCAGAGAGCCGAGATTGTGCCACTGGCACTCCAGCCTGGACAACAGAGTGAGACTCTGTCTCAAAGAACAAAACAAAACAAAACAAAACAAAACAATGAAGTAAAGTTAACAAGCTATATGGTTTCAAAATTCTTATCATTGCAAATCTTCATTTTGAAGAGGAGGTGGAAAGGGTAAAAGATGATAGGTTGAGTGGGAAAAGCTGACTTTAGCAGAGTGTGCCTGCTGTCATAGCAGCAGCAACACAGGTACTCATGCACCCACTGTGGACAGGGAACATGGAGAAACGAAAAGAGTTGGGTTAGCAGGCTGAGATGATTTTTCTGCTTCTTTTTGTTTCTTTTTAGAGATAGTGTCTTAGTCTGTTGCAAGGATTGGAGTGCAGTGGGACCATCATTGCTCACTTCCGCCTCGAACTCCTGGGCTGAAGGGATCCTCCTGTCTTAGCCGCTAGAGTAGTTCGGACTACAGGCACACGCCACCACATCTGGCTAATTTTTAAATTTTTTGTAGAGATGGGGTCTCGCTCTCTTGTCCAGGTTGGTCTTGAACTCCTAGGCTCAAGTGATCCTCCTGCCTCAGCCATCCAAAGTGCTGGGATTATAGGCGTGAGCCATGGAGCCTGGTATCCTTCTTAAAAATTGCTTCGTTGGCCGGGCG